TGCTTGCAGTACATTTATTAAACTAATGAATCATTATACAGTTTTTGTATAAATAGCAAAACACTTTTTTAAACCTGGTTTTACTAACTGTTCATATCAATACAAAAATTCTAACTATTTACGCAATTCTGAGAAACGCCTGTAAGCTCTACATTACACTGGAATTCTCTTAGTATACCGCCTTAACGGCGCAAAAGCAGTACGTGTTGTACAAAGCAGACGATAACGAGGTTTTAATACAAACAGCTCGTTGCCTAAGAAACGACCTTCTGTGACCTTTGTGTTTACGCGAAATGCAAACATATGTGTAAAAACACCCCACCTCCTCAGTTTGTATTTCGCTGTTATATATGTAGAGAGAAAAATTTTCTGCGTATATAGTAAAACTAGCCAGGGGAAAATACTACCAACAGTTTGAAAGAAAAAACACAACTCTGTCTCCATTTCCTAAAATTTTATAAATCTCATCTACCGCAATACTATGAATTCTGTCTGAATTTTAAAGAAGTCGTTAAATGTTGATGTAGATATTTATGTAAAGCAACGAGTAATATTGGAAAAAGTGTAAAATATTTTTTTTTATAAATTCTCTTTATTTAGATAATAGACAAAACAAAGAAAGTGAAAACAAATTCTTTCTAGCAAACTATTGATATATTTGAATAACAAAAGTATACCAAACTGTGTCACTAATGAGCTCAACAGTACCTGGTGTGTCATACAGAGTTCTCAGGACGAGAAGAGAAGGTAAAAATATTTGTCATTAAGATGGATATGAACAAGACGCAGAATATGAGCTAATAATTTGTTGATCCTTTATTTATTTTGTCCAATACGATTTTCCAATGGGTAAAATAATTACTTTAGTTTCCTTATCAGCTTCTCTATATTCATAGTTTTATAAAACACTTGCTGTTTATGGCACGGAAAAGGCATAGGGACCCAGGGGGTGATATAGGGGGTCAGGTCCGATTGCGTACTCCTTATGTCCTCCCTGGGGTATCCTTTTAATAGAGATCAATAGAATAATACAGGAAACATAGAGGACAGGGGTGACATAGGAGAGT